ATGGTATAATGTGGTCATTGAAGAATTATATGTCTAAACTTCAAACTTAATGCACCTTATTCATTCGGGTAGTATTTCTTGAATCCCTTCTTTGGATGGAACTCTGCTAAGAAATAGGAACTTGGAGGAAAAGAAAGAGAAACAAAACCCCTGTCCTTGTGTAGCTCGCTTCCTGACTAGACCGAGGACGTGGCGGAACCTGACCAGTGCTCTGCCAGCCCGGGGAGGGAACCACGGCAGCCTGGTCCAGGGAGGAGGCAGCCTGGTCCAGGGAGGAAGCAGCGGAGGGAGCCGCAGACAGGAAGTTGTGAGCAGAGGGAAGAGCTAGCCCCCAGGCCCCGAGGTGGCACTGGTGTTGAGGCAGGGAGGGAGCGAGGCTGGAGCATGGTGGCCGCACCACTGAGCCCTAAGGGAAGGGAGAGGTCAGCAGCATGTGCCACTGCTGGCCCATCTTTGAATTCCTCCTGGATTCTTGTTTTGCCTGAAAAGCCCTCCGGCCGCATTCATCAGTCTCTTAGGAAACTTAGTTCTGCTGTGCTTTGAACATGTTCTTCTCACCAAAACTGTTACTCAGACACATTGCTCCAGTTCACGTCTAGAGGTATTGACATTATTAGACTAGTTAAATCCATATTTTCCTTGATTTATTACAAACACATGGAAACTTCTTTTCCAGTGGCCTTGCATTAGAAGCACTTCAGGTGAGTGTGGACGTCCATGGCCCACTGGGGCATCTCACAGTGACCAGGTGGAGTCGTCAGAGCCCCGCGCCCGTGGAGCTGACAGTCCAGTGTCTGCAAGGGCTCAGGGTGCTTCGATTCCTTTCCGTTTGCCTCAGCTGTAGTTTTCTGTAGATTTCAGAACTGAAATGCTCTTTGGTCAGTCTTTTGAGTCAAGAGTCCACTGTGTGAGGACCAAGAGTGAGGGCACATGGAGCAGTTCCAGGACACCCCGCAGCCTGGAGCCACTCTGATGATGAGAGCCATCATCTCTGCCTGGACCCCCAAGTTGAAATCTCAGACTACGGCTTGGCACAGTGCTGCTCTGCCAGGCTTCCCCCCAGGAGCAGGAGGACTAGGTGGGGTGCCGCTGCCTGAGGGAGTCAGGTCTCAGGTGGGAAGGAGCTGGAACACTCAGAAGCCCCTAGTGGGGGAGTTGTGAGCCGCCTCCCCTCCCACCGCGAGTGCTCCTCTGTGGTCTCGGGCTTGGGAGCTGGAGTGTCGTGTGCTGGGCTTCTTGGTTAAAGAATCAAGCGTGTGACGTTTCTGACCTCCAGCATCCCCTTGAACGGTTGATCCATTCATTAGGATGTGAAATGCTGCGGCCACCGCTGCATGCCCACGTTGATGCCTCCCTCCTGGGAGCTGTGTTTTCCTGTCGTTGTTCCTGTCCTGCTTGGTTAGGAGGTCCTCTGTTCAGCTCTCATGCAGCTGTAGCTGCAGTGACTAAGAGGAAGAAAGAATGTTGCAAGTATTATTTGCTGTGAGGCCTAGCTCAGGCGTCCATTGTGGCGGTGTGATCTGATTTTTAAAAGGTCTGTAACTTGCATTCCAATCTGTAGACTGTGCAGCACCCATATCTAGGTCCTCTGCAGTCTCTTTAGGGAACCATTCCTTATTTTCTATTTGTTTCTCGAAAGGCTGTGATGTGCCACTCATAAAAAAAATAAGGGTAATTATTTGGGCATGTTTGAATATGTCTTTGAATCTTGATAAGAGCAACCTGCTTTATATTTGAACATAAATATACTGTTCTACGTGGAATTTGAATCCCCTGATTCCTCAAGACCTTACCCCGTCCTCTGTGACTGCCCTGGTGGTGTCCATGGACGAATGTCCTCACATGGCCTGGGGATATTTCAGGGACCAGCTGCCCCCACCGCTCCTCATCATTTAGGGTCCAGGCTGCTGCTTGGCACGGTGTAGCTATCGAGACCTGTGTCCTCGTTGCTATGGTAAAGCTACGACACTTGTGTAGCTCTGTCTTGTCCTCTGACATTTTGCCCATCATTGCAATACGAGTGATTATCAAGTTTCTGTAATTCTAATAGCCTGTGATCTTTTCTACTAGTTGTCGTTGATATTTGTATATTTGACATTTAAAGTCCTGTTTACTTTACATGCTGTCTTCATTCGTTCAGCCCTTGTCATGCCAAGCACTGTTTCAGGCGTGGGAGACTGTGCTGAAAGCAAGATAAGACTCAGCCCTCACACAGCTTCCGTTTTAATGCGGGAGACAGAGAGATAATAAATAAGTAACACCTAAAATAAAAACATTAAGAAGAAGGAGAAGTGACGAAGTGCCACAGGCTAAAGGGGCGTGAAAAGACGGAGATGACAGCACTGGGATTTTTTAGAGGGAGAACCAGATCTGACAGGGAGGAGCGGGTGAGGAGCTCATGGACGGGGCAGCAGCCGGCAAGCAAGCCGGCGCCATCTTGGAAGCCACTGTGACAACCAGCAAAGGCGGGATCATCAGGGAGGAGAGAGGGCGGTACCTGTCGGCCATGTGGGGAGAAGCCGGGGTGGTAGTTCCCCTGTGTGGTGGAAGGGTGAACAGAGCATTAACTATGAGCATATTTTGAAAAGGTCATTGAAAAGTGAAATGAAAAGGTAAGTTTATTTTGGTTAAAAAAAAAAGTTTTCATATATTTTATGTGTACTTCGGCTAGGCCGAAGCCAGGAGCCCCAAGCTTCGCCTGGGTCTCCCACATTGGTGGCAGGGGTCCAGGCACTTGGGCCATCTCCGGCTGCTTTCCCAGGCACAATAGCAGGGAACTGGATTAGAAGTGGACCAGCACCCATATGGGATGCCAGCATCCAGGTGGCGGCTTTCCCTACTATACCATGATGCCAGCCCCTTACATGAACTTTTTGAAGATCCTTCAAAAGCATGAATTTCCAAGTGTTTTAAATCAAAATTTATCTTTCACTTCCATTTACCACAAACATATCGAAGTGCCCTCGTATGATGCCAAAAGCACAAGTGACGAGAGAAAGATAAATTGGACGTTTTGGCTTCATAGCACACAATTAATAATGGGAGGAAAAATAGAATTATATATCTAAGAGCTTGTGTCCAGAATAAATAAAATACGTTTGCAGCTCTATTAAAACGACAAATAGTCCAATTTAAAAATGGGCTAAATATCCAAATATGCACTTCCCAAGGAAGATACATAAACGGCCCATACGCAGTGGAAAGATGCTCAGGATTGTGTCATAAGAACGCCTGTCAGAACCACGATAGGACACCACTTCACACCAGGACGGTGGTGGGCGTGTGCAGAGAGCAGACCTTGTGTGTGGCCAGAAGCCTGGTGTAGAATGGCGCCCCCACTGGGAACGCAGTCTGGCAGTTCCTCAGAACGTGGAACAGAGCGCTACCACGTGATGCGCGCGCCACCCGGGCGTACGTCCACGAGAAAGGAGCGCGTGGAAAGTGCCAGAAGCCAGCCGTGGGGATTGCACTGGTACGAAGCGTCCAGGGCAGGGAGGTGATTCCGGTCAGCAAGCAGAGGAGCCGGGGCCTGGGGAGTGACCAGTAGCTTATACAGGCTGCTCTCAGGGGTGAAGAAGGCGTTCTTGGAACTAGATGGTGATGATGGTTACATAATGCCGTGAATGTATTAAAAACCATGGAATCGTAAACTTTAAAAGGGGAAATTTTATGGTATGTAAATTATACATCAATAAACTGTTATTAAAAAGGAATAAAATGGTACCAAGTTTGCTTTATTAGCTTTGAAAGGTTATGGGTGAAACACATGTTCTTCTTTTTAATTTTGTTGCTACCACATGAGCTTAATTCCTAGGCCTGAGTGGCTGAGCTCAGTGGTCTGAGTCAAGTCTCCGGGCACAGTCACCCCACTCCTGAAATACTGTGTGGATGGACGAGGCCACAGCTTCTGCTCAGGGAACACTCGGGACAGGCAGTAACCAAGGCCACTCAGATGGCAGTGAGGAAACCAGTGACAAAGACTGTCCGTTCAGTTATTTGAGGAGATTTAGTATTGGTTAATTTGTTTATTGTGTGCAGCATAATTTAAGAAAAAAAGTATGTTAATAGTTAGTTTTTTAAAATAGTGTACAGACCTGTAAAATATGTACGCATTTCACAGCACCTTCTTGGAAGTTGTTGAATTCGTACATACTTTAGCATCTTCTTGTCTGTGCCTCAAAAAGTAAAAGACTGATCGGCTACAGTCATTCTTGTGTATGAACTTAAAATAGAAAATGAAACAATCCCCCTAAAAAAATCAACTGTAGGGGCCAGCGTCGTGGTGCCGTAGGTTAATCCTGTGCCTGCGGCGCCGGCATCCCATATGGGCACCAGTTCAAGTCCCGGCTGCCCCTTTTCCGGTCTAGCTCTCTGCTATGGCATAGGAAAGCAGTAGAAGGCGGCCCAAGTGCTTGGGCCCCTGCACCTGCATGGGAGACCCAGAAGAATCTCCTGGCTTCTGGCTTCGGATCAGCACAGCTCCAGCCGTTGTGGCCATTTGGGGAGTGAAACAACAGAAGGAAGACTCCTCTCTCTGTCTTTCTCTCTCACTGTCTGTAACTCTATCTCTCAAATAAATAAAGAAAAATCTTTTTTTAAAAAATCAGCTGTGTTCTCAAACTGATGTCTTTTTGTAAAACACCAATTAGGATCTAGTGACAGTGGAAATTTCCTGGGCTCCTCTCCCAAGCGCTCAGTGCAGTGAGAATTTTTCAGGAATGCACGCAGATGACTCTGTGGCACAGGATTTTGTCCCATGATGAACTGTGTCCTGAGGACTCTGGCCTAGAATGAGGAGGCGCTTTAGGGTGGTTAAAGTGTTCTTCACAGAGGGTAATTAGTGGGCAGTAAGATATTTCCCAGCCGTTTGATAGTAGAAATAGGTATGACCCGGACTCCTACCCTGGCTGGCAGGTACTACTGCTTCCTCACCAAGATGCCGTCTCCCAGTGTGTGAACCCGGAGCCCCTGTCTCCCTCACGCTTGCTCTCTTCCTGCAGATTTCCTTCGACTTAGCCGAGTACACCGCAGATGTGGACGGGGTTGGCACGTTGCGGCTGCTGGATGCCATTAAGACCTGTGGCCTCATCAACTCCGTGAAGTTCTACCAAGCTTCGACAAGCGAGCTGTACGGGAAAGTGCAAGAGATACCGCAGAAGGAGACCACCCCGTTCTATCCTCGGTCGCCCTACGGTGAGCACACAGCGTTCTCCGTGGACGCAGGGGAGTGTGTTTCTGCTTTCGTTCTGTTCGTGTCTCACGGCTGAAGTCATCTGAGTGTGAGATGAACGCTGGGCTAGACTGCAGTGACCAGACTTGTTGAGAAGCATGCCTTCATCCGCTGACTACAAGTATTTGCCATTGCCCCCAGGGAGAATTACCACCTCGCTTCACCAGTCCCTGTTCATTCAGCCCTCCCGTGCAGATCACTTTAAAAGGAAAATTAGACCTAACAGGGTTCTTTTTTTCTGAACTATTGTGAGATTTACTGAAGTGATAAGGCTTCTGAGATTCTTTTTTTTTATTTCCTTGATGAAAGCTCCCCTGAGCACACTCTTGAAAAAAATTAAGCCTATCACATGTAATATTATATAAGCCTATCACATAATATATTATATGTAAGCCTATCACATATATTATATATAAGCCTATCACATATAATATATATAAGCCTATCACATGTATTATATGTAAGCCTATCACATGTAATATATGTAAGTCTATCACATGTAATATTATATAAGCCTATCACATATAATATATTATATATAAGCCTATCACATGTACTATATTATATGTAAGCCTATCACATGTACTATATTATATGTAAGTCTATCACATGTAATATTATATAAGCCTATCACATGTAATATATTATATGTAAGCCTATCACATGTATATATTATATGAAAGCCTATCACGTGTAATATTATATAAGCCTATCACATATATTATATGTAAGCCTATCACATGTAATATATGTAAGCCTACCACATGTAATATATTATATGTAAGCCTACCACATGTAATATTATATAAGCCTATCACATGTAATATATTATATGTAAGCCTATCACATGTAATATATTATATGTAAGCCTATCACATGTAATATATATGCAATGAGAATACTCATGAAGGACTTCAGTGATGCAAGTTCACAGTAGTTTGAATGTTAGGATCCTCAATTTTTTATTTAATTCCTTAAATCTAAAATAAAAGGCACCGCAGGCTTGCTGTATTATGTACACTATAGCGAGTCGATTAGATTCTGGAAGGACGAACTGTGGGAATTACAAAAGCAAGAGTCTTAACTGCTTCCTTGTGAGCTGATTCACTGCCAGGGTGACCTTTACTGTGTCATTAGCCTTTGATTTTTTCTATTTTGATATATTGTAAATTCTAATTTTTAGAAGTTATTTCTTGTTTGAATTGAGTGAAAAAAAACACTGTCTTTTATAATAAAATTCATTTGCTTTTAAAAATTATTCCAATAGGGGCAGCAAAACTCTATGCTTATTGGATTGTGGTGAACTTCCGCGAAGCATATAATCTCTTTGCAGTGAATGGCATTCTCTTCAATCATGAGAGCCCCAGAAGAGGTTAGTAAATGTGTGATTTGAAAGGAGATTTTAGGATTCTAACCCCACAACAAAAGTTACATGTATCTTCCGTGTATGTATTATGAACTGAAATTTTCTACATCTGTTTCTAACTCTTATGAATGTCAGAAGTGGTGAATGAAGAGATTTAAGTCCAGCCTTGATGTTCATTAAATGTGTGTGTGTGTGTGTATGGGGGGTATGTGAAGGAGGGTATTCAACATGAAAAACTGAACTGTGTTCTGATTTTGCCATTTTCTTTAGTAGGTCTTACCAAACATGTTTTCCACTGAGGTGTTAAGAGGTTTCTGTATGAATGTAAGGAATTAGTTGTAATTCATTGGTTCTTTCTGGAGATCATTCCTAGTCATATAGATTCAACTTATAAAATCTGAATTATTTTTTATTTTTAGTCCTTTGAATTATAAACTATTTTTACTTTACTTTACCTTCTATTAAGCAGACATCCAGAAGGTACTATGCTCCTAGGCTGTATTCAAAAACAAATTGGAAACACTTCTTGTATTTAGAAGCATTGTCCATTTTCCCCAGAAAAGTGTGTTGTTATTGCGTTGGCTTGATGCCTTTCCATAGTTGCTGTTGAGCCTGCTACCTCTTGCTGGCTCTTCATGCTTAGCATTTTGATTTCAAATGAGCAAATGTGTACCTGCAGCGTTACTTCTGATTTACTGAAGCATGAGAAATATTTACAAAGTATATGCAGCCTTACAAAGCAGTTTTATTAAATTTAACTATCATTCAGCCTTCTAGTCTGAGAGCAAATGAGACATCCATCCAGTGTTAAAAGTTGTTTTGTGCTCTGCAGCTAGTCATGTTGATGTGACTGCATAGCCACCTAATTAACCCAGCCAGTCATGAAGAAAGATTTAAGTGACAGGTTTATTAAGGCATCTTTAGCGTCAGTACACTTTTATTTTATAATTGCTTGCATTAAAAGTTCCCATGATGGACTCTCGAGCACGGGGGCCCTGTCTGGGTGATGTTTGTGGTCAGGGAGGAAGATCTTGGTTAGCCTGGCCTCAGCATCTGGCGTGCGGGACCCCCGAGGACTGCGTTCAGTGAACGGCAGTCCCTGCCTCTTTCCTCGCAAATGGGTCTGTTCACATTGTTTGAGTTTCTTAGTACTACCCCCCTCCACTTTCTACCTGCAAAAAACTAAATACAAAGTGCTTATTATGGACCTGGTTAAGATGAGGGGAAGTATTCTTGGTTGTGGAGTAAAAGGATAAATTTAATTATGACTTCCTTCCCAGTCCCCTACTGGTGTCCTTATAATGAGAATAAATTTTTGTCTTTTTCAATGTTAATGATTTTCTTTTCCTAAAAACATTATTTACAAACAAATACTGATTCTTTATTTAAAAGTTGAGAATACAGGAAGAAAAGAGAAAGTTTAACCCCTCAGACTAAATCCCAGTCATCACCAGACCCTCTGTTAACGTTCCTTCAGAATCTCCCACGTATCTTCAGACGTGAAGAGAGAGTTATCCTGGATGTGTTTTTCTGCAGCTTAGGGCCTCTCTTCAATGTCCGTTAAACACTTGAAATGGCAGCATATACCATTTTGTCTTATTGTATATCCAGAAATCAATTGTATCACATTTTCCACTTCATTTCTATAACCAAATAATGAAAAAGCTCAATACTTTGGTAAAGTATCTAGTACTAAATATTTATAGAATTGTTCAAAATTTGAAAATTGGGCCAGTGCTGTAGCATAGTAGACTAAGCCTTCGCCTGTAGCGCTGGCATCCCATATGGGCACCAGTTTGTGTCCCAGCTGCTCCTCCTCCGATCTAGTTCTCTACTATAGCCTGGGAAAGCAATGAAAGATGGCCCAGCACCCGCATTGGAGACACAGAAGAAGCTCCTGGCTCCTGGCTTCAGATCGGCACAGCTCCAGCCATTGCAGTATTTGGGGAGGGAACCAGTGGATAGAAGACCTCTCTCTCTGTCTCTCCCCTGTAACTCTGCCTCTCAAGTAAATAAATAAAATCTTTTTAAAAAATTGAAAATTACAGATGGACTTTTGTGGATATTTTATTTATTTTAAAGGCAGAATGGGGGTGGGGGTGGGGGGGAGAGGGAGGAGAGAGAGGATGAGAATCTGCCATCTGCTGGTTCCCTCCTCACACAGCCACTGAAGCCAGAAGCCAGGAGCTTCTTCCTGTTGTCCCAGGTGGGTGCAGGGACCCAAGGACTTGGGCCAGCTTCTGCATTAGCAGGAGCTGGATCAGATGTGGAGCAGCCGGAACTGGAACTGGTGCCCATATGGAATGCCAGTGTTGCAAACAGTAGCTTAACCCCCTGCCACAACGCTGGAAAGATGGTTATTTAGCTTGGTGGTCAAGATGCCAGTGGAGATGCCTGTGTCCCAGACCACAGTGCCAGGATTCAGTCTCCAGTCCTGCCAGTGCAGGTCCTGGGGGCCAGCACTGCTGTCCACACCGGAGACCACACTGAGGTCTCAGCACCAGCCTGCAGCCCCAGCTGGGGGCCACTGAGGACATTTGGGGAATGAAACATTGCATGACATCTCTGTGTGTCTGTCTCTGTCTCTGTCTCTTTCTCTTCCTTGCCAAATAAATAAATAAGAAACCTTGAAACTTATTTTTCAAATTAGATTAAACTGGCAAATTCCTTAATTGGTAGGACTGTGTTGTATTCTTAAATCTCCAGTTTCTGAAGTACTAGGTAGCTGCTAATAAGCCTGCAGTAAATACCTTTCAGTGAATGGATAAAACTTTGCTGCCTTGAGAGGCCTGCGTCTGGCCTAGAGGTAGAGATGCCAGTAGGTTGCCGTGTGCGAGGGTTCAGTTCCCAGCTCTGGTTTCTGGTTCCAGCTTTCTGCCACTGCAGGTGCGGGCAGATGGTGTGATGGCTCAGGTAATTGGGTTTCTACCACCCAAAGGGAAACCGGATTGAGTTCCCAGCTCCTGGATCCAGCCTGGGGTCCAGTTATTTTGGACATTTGGGAAGTGAACCAGTGAATGGGAGCTTTTTCTGTCTCTGCTGGGCCAAAGCTGGGAGCCTGGAATTACTGACAGAGACCCAAGTGGTTACACCATCATCTGCTGACTCCCAGGATGTGTGTTAGGAGGAAGCTGGATTGGCAGTGGAGTAGCTGGGGCTTGAACCAGACTCTCTGATACGGAACACAAGTGTCTGAAATGGCGACTGAATTGCAGTGCCAAGTGCTGAACCCTGTGGTAGAGTTTTAAGTAAATATTGTTTTATTGACTTTATACATATACAAATTAAAGCTAACTATTTTGAGGTGAAGATTCAATCTGATGTCTTTTAATAAACAGGTAAAATTAATTTTCAGTTCATCTTAATTTGTACACCTACAACTTGCCATGATATGTTAAGTGACTTTGCTTTCTAAAATTGGTTGAGTATTTATACATCAGTCCTCTCCTGCACTGTAATCACAGGGTGAAAACACTGTTTTTTTAAGATGGTCCAGGGGTAAACCTCAACCTAGTCCAAGGTATACAATCCGAAATGCCCAATTAGTCCAAGTTAATGTAGTGTTTAGGGATTACACACTTTTTTCCCAGTGAAAAATAATTGGCATGATCTCTTTTGTTTGCATGAGTAACATTCTATGATAATTTCTGACTTTAAAAAGTGTGGAAGATTTTTTTTAAATATAAAGATATTCTAAACAAAAGGTTGACAAGCATTGGCTCATGAACCAAATCCTGCCCTGAGGCCTGTTTCTGTAAATAGAGCTTTATTGGAACGTAGCCAGACTCATTTGTGTACATACTGCCTATGGCTGCTTTCACACTGCCGAGTCCTAGAACCTGCAAAACCTAAAGTCTTTACAGTCTGGGCCTTTAAGAGAGGAGCTGTTGGCCCTTGATGTAGACACTTGGATTCTCAACATCCAAGAATGTCCAGCTGGGTTTATTGTGGGTTTTTCCCAGTGTGGCAAGGTAGTCTTTTAGAAACATTTTCAGGGGTCAGCGTTGTGGCGAAGTGGGTGAAGCCTCTGCCTGCAGCGTTGGCATTCCAGTGGGCAATGCTTTGTGTCCCAGCTGCTCCACTTCCTACCCAGCTCCTTGCTACTGCATTGGGAAAGCAGTGGAGGGTGACCTAAGTACTTGGTTCCCTCCTACCCACGTAAGAGACCTGAAAGAAATTCTTCACTCCTGGCTCTGACCTGGCCATTATGGCCGTTTTGGGAGTGGAAAATCTCTGTCTCTGTCTCTTTCCCTCTCTCTGCCTTTTCAAATAAATAATGAATCTTAAAAAAAAAAAAAAAAAAAAAGATTTCCATCAAAGATAATGGACAAAGAGTTGAGAGTGATGAATCCTGCAGCAGATTTCCTGAAGTCAGCTGAGGCCCCGCGTGTTGTCCTTCGCTGCTATCCTGGAGTGACTGAGTGCTCTCAAGGAAGGAGACTTGTCAGTGAGGTGCGGAACCCAGCAAGCTGGTTAGCTGCCAGGGTCTGACATGGTTCGCCACAGCAACCCAGCTCCTGAGTTCTGACAGCTTTGTTTCGGACTCTCATGTGTGTCTTTTCTTTATTCTAAACTTTCTTGCTTCCTGTTCTCTCTCTCTTCCCTCTCTCCTCTCCTCTCCTCTCCTCTCCTCTCCTCTCCTCTCCTCTCCTCTCTCTCTCTCTCTCTCTCTCTCTCTTCTCTCTCTTCTCTCTCTTCTCTCTCTTCTCTCTCTTCTCTCTCTTCTCTCTCTCTCTTTCTCCTCTCTCTCTCTCCTCTCTCTCACCTCTCTCCGTCTCCTCTCTCTCTCTTCTCTCTCTCTGCACTCTCCTCTCTCCCTCTCTCGCCTCTCTCTCTCCTTTCTCTCTCTCCTCTCTCTCTCCTCTCTCCCCTCTCTCTCCTCTCTCCCCTCTCTCTCCTCTCTCCCCTCTCTCTCCTCTCTCTCTTTTCTCTCCTCTCTCTCTTTTCTCTCCTCTCTCTCCTCTCTCTCTCTCTCTCTCCTCTCTCTCTCTCCTCTCTTCTCTCTC